TTTCTCTCTTTCTCTCACGATCTTGCCTCGATTTCCGTGCCCGTTCAAACCCGAAGCTCTGGTCTTTTTGCTCAAGTCCCGAGGGTCGATTTTACTCCCGAGATTCCCGAGAATCCCAAGAAAAATCCGTTTCCCGAGACGAAACTCTGCCCGGTTTTCCATCTCGCTATCTTCAAACTTCCAAGTGAGTTCATACCCCTTAACTAATGTTTTAAACTACTTTTAAATGCTTTATGGGGGGGGGGGGGGGGGAATACAAGTAGAATCATGCTAGGATTATATCAATCGCAGGCGATTAATAAGTAGAATTACGCTAGTTATTACATCAATTACATGTGATTAATATACAACATTCGAAAGATTTGGCTACTCATTAGCCGTCTTACCAAACAGTTTCCTTCAAATGACTTTTATAAACATTTTATATGTTTTAAACTATTTATTACACTATGCATCTTACTCGGTACATTACCTTTCAAACTTATTTACAACTATGTTTTAAATCAAATGTTTCCTTATACTCAAAACTGTTTTATCATACTTATGCCTTCAAATTGTTTTATAGATCGACATCAAGTCGATCTTTTCTTAAAATAATGTTTATGTTTCAAATGTCTTACAAAATTCATTTATGCTTTTATATTATAAATTGCATGCCTCTATATGTATAGTTATATAAGAAATGTTTAAAAGACTTAGGAAGGCTATCCACCCTATTTCCTTTTCGCGCCTTGAGATGTAGTCCGGTGGGATTTTGGGTATTCGTCCGAAAGACGTTTAAATATTAGTTATATATCATGTGTACATATATAGTCATAAAAGGTCTTTCCAGTTCATCCCACGCCCTTAGTTAGTAAGGGTATACATCCATGACCATACGTACCAGTTAGACTGCTAGTAAACTACCATATGGGTAGTTTAGGAAGATGCTAGAACCGTTACTAGAACGCGATATCATACAATGAGTCAGTTCATTCATGAGTCAATACTTTCTAGAACATTACATATACAACTATACTAGAACAAGAAAGATTACCCTTACATTAATACGTTAACGATTGTGATCCACTGTATTGGAGCATGCCTTAAATGTCATGGCCCGAGTTGTAACCAGAATTCTCTTGGAGGGAGAGCGTTGAGTTTGCGTATAGATCTATACTGGATTGACTATCCTACACCTTGCTGCTAGCTACAGTGGGACCGAAAGGTCTGCGGGTGCCAAACGTCATAACTTATTTTTCAACTATACGTTGTCGTTGTTACCAGTCGATAGTATGGTGCAATTTATCACATGATACCTTAATATAAATCCGGTTTAAGGTAGTTAGTACGGCAGTTGTTCCTATAAAACAAAACTACAGTACTAAAATGATTTACCCATTACATTTTTAGTGATAACCTCACTTAAACTTTAATGTACAAACTATATTTTGTTAAAAGATAGTTACACTTGGGTAAATTACACACTTTTATGACAAACGAGTATGCAAAACAATTAAGCCTTGGTAGAAGGCTACTTTAATAGAAAATATAGGTTTTCTGAAAGATTCAAACTTCTACAAACACTTACAAACCTTTACATACCTTTTACAAACTTATGCTTGATACATGTTCAAACATTTTTGGATGAAAAATACCGACACTAAAATACTTATGAACTCACCAGCTTAATGCTGATAAACTCTTTCAAAATAACTTGTATTCTCAGGTCATCAGTAGACAGGTACCGAGGCCAGCTTTTGAGAAGATGGAGCGTATCCAAGACTCATCTTATTATTTTGATTTACGTTATTTTTGGTGTCTATAATGTACAGATGACGCTTGTATTAAAATTTTATATTTAATGCAATGGATGATGTTGTTTGCTTATTTACATTTACTGTGTTGTGATACGTTACATGACGTCCTCCGCCCCAGAACGTTTCCGCCGTTCTCGGTTTTGGGGTGTGACAATGATACCGAACATGCCAAATTACAACGACACTACACGCCTAGATGACCACATTGACAACTACGAATGGACGATGACATCTCTTAAGATGGATCGTCGCTTCACCTAAACATATTTCCCATGAACCCTAACGAGAAACGTAAACAAGTGGTTCAAGTCTCTAATGCCAGTTAGTATCTCGAGTTTTAAGCAGCTGAGATACCTTTTCCTCAATAATTTCAAGCAATTGAGGAAAGGAAAAGGAGACGCCAACTCTGTGATGGCGTGCAAGAAAAAAGAAGGAGAATCAATATGTGACTATTACGACCGATTCACGCTAGCTACCTTGAATGTCCCAGGACATGAAGAGTTCCTGGTGACAGGCGCCTTCGCCCAAGTTCTGCTTCCTGGTCCCTTATCAAGGAATATGCAAGGAACAGTTCCTAGATCAAGGAATGAACTTAAGTTCCGTGTGGAAAAATACCTACGACAAATCGAAGGGGAAGAGCGAAAGGAAGCCAATCTCAAAGCCGTAGCTAACACTTATCTCAAACAGGAGGAAGCGGTGTCCCGATGCAGCCCAATCCAGCAAGAGAGGCAAGATGGCAACCAACAGAGATACAACCTCCATTCCAGGCACAAGTCACGACAGTATAGACCATTCAACATGGATGATAACTGGAGTAGTCACAACGATGTCCACGCAATCAATAAGACTCCAGCTAATGAGAACAAAGACAAGACCAAGTTTTGTGAGTATCATCGAAGAAAAACGCATGATACCAACGAGTGCATAGTATTGAAGCGGGAGGTTGATGAGAAACAACTAGTAGGAAATATAGTCGACATAGCAAAAGACCTGAGGGAAAAATTTGATGGGGATAAGCACCAGCCCAAAAATCAAAAGGATGTAGGAAAGGACCATGAAAAAAGGGCCAAGATACTTACCATCACAGGGCCCTGCTCATGTAGAAATTGCCAGAGTCAACGCATGGGCACAAAGGTATACCATCAAAATATCCTCAACATAGCGTTTCCAGTGAACGACCCCAGGCCAGAGCACTGGGATCCAAATGACCCTTTGCACATCACCGGTTTCATTAGCCAAAATCATGTCGAACAAGTGAAAATCGATATCGGAAGTAGGGTCAATGTAATTTATGAACATTGCCTTCGGTAGTTACTAATCGAATGGAAAAAGCATCTCTAGCTACCACGCCAGGGCCTGCTAGTCGGGTTCACCGATCAAGGCATTTAGCCAATAGGAACAGTCACAATCCCAATTACATTGATAAGTCATGATGGAACCAAACAGATAAAAAGGGCGCTCGAATTCTTGGTTGTTGATCGCCCGACTGACCACAATATGCTACCGGGCCGACCGGCGTTGTTCCAGCTACAAGCAGTTCCATCTACTCTTCACGGTGTCCTCTAATTCAGTACAAGTGACGAATCAACAATGGTAATGGAAACCAAGTAGGGTAATGAATGTGACACCCAACAAGAAAGGAAACATGAAACCAAATTGTGTTGAAGTAAATGTTGTCAGACGATGGTTGATCCACAGCGAAAGTTCGCGATAGCAAAAGTGCTAATCAGCGAGTCCAAGAAAAGACAACTAGATGTTTTCAATCGGCTCACAACATCTCCCCCACAGAAAGGAGCAAGAAACTGAACTGAGGATGGCTCAGTCGGAGTAGGAAGCAATAATCGCAAAGCAAAGAAGCGCCTACTCACGGACACGGGCACCAGCCTGGCCCACGATCAACGACCGAACCATGTCTGGCCAAAAAGTAATTTGGGACTCAAAGCAGACCTTGGCCAATGTCAATCACGACCCAAAATTTAGTGGGATGAAGAAAAAATGCATCAGGTGTAACAAAAATAGAGGCAGAGTGACACCCATTTTAACATGCAAGCCCTCCATAAAAAGAGAATTGACAAAGGCCTCTGATGAGCTAAAAAACACCCCAATTGACAGCGTGACATGCAAGGTCGGCAGGCGCACAGAGAAGCGCATGTGGTACCCTCACCCGTCCAAGGGAGGCATTTCCCACAGTCTTATAACAAACTGGGTCGAGAAGAAGGAAAAGGGTGAACGCCTCTAGAGCAAGAAAGACAAAATTCAGCTCTCTCACACCGGACATCAATGGTGGAAACAATAAGAAATTCCAACCTATCAAGAAACACTGGAAATGAATGCACAACCACGATGAGGTAGTCATAGCCAAATACTCAATGAAAAATAAAGTGGAAGCCGAGAAAAAGGAGTATGGTCAAACTCCACACAGGATAACCATACTCTAGATGATAACGCAAATACAGGGCACGCACCTTGATAATTAGACATTCAGAGTCTATTGTCTCATGTTTTACTTCTTTTGTTTTTCTTAAGAGTTAATATAATTTTCATTTCGAAAGAGCTTTCCAGAAATCTGTTTAACAAATTGCAAAAACACAAAGTAAAGAGGTTGTACGTATTTTCCAAGTAACAACAATGGTTGATCACCCACAGTACTTGAGCAAATCTATACATGAATGCAATTGTAGGTATTAAAAGAGTCATAATCTTTACCTACAATGTGCCAATAGCATCTCAAAGCTGAGAATATACAAATCCCAACTAATGGCACATAAAAAGGGGCTCTAAAATATTCATAACCTTTCCCCTGATAATAGAACAGTAAAAGGTCTTAAGGTGACGATCTTAGCCTATGTATTGGAAGCTAGACCATATAATATAGTCCACAACATTAACTAACATTTCATAGCTCAATAAGCAGCAGGTACACGACGTCTGAGGCACACGTTAGCCGATTAATGCAAACCCTAGAACAAGGGAGTGTGCAGAAAAAATTACAATAGAAACATCGAGCAGCCCGTCCTCAAAGATACCACAGGACGATTCAAAATATGTGCATACACATAAAAAAAGAGGAAATGGGAAGAAAACACTTCCACACCAAGTACAAAGCCAAACACAAAGTTCATAGTTAACAACAACCATTGTTTTTCAATATACATATAAAGGCAACTACATTATAGAACAGTTAAAAGGGACAAACACAAATCAACCCTCAGAGTCTGAGGAAGAACCTCCCGGACTCAGCCCACAACAAAACTGGCGTAAACTATCATAATCTAGCTTCCCCAAGAGAAAGAGCCCCTCGAAATCCGTCTCAACAAGGGACGATAGAGCAGCAACCACCTCTTTAGCACTTCTCGCAATATATCCATGATCCGAGACTCCAGACTCACTGGCAATTGTGGAACAACCGCCTAGTTGTATCCCCTTCTCAAACCCAAGGGCCCCACATGTCTTGCGAAACCTTAGATCCCGCTGGCAAATTCTACGCTCTCGATAACTTTATCAATTATGCGAACCATCCCTTCTCCAGCAACCATTGCAAACCACCTCGAGTGACAGCACCATCAACACGAGCACAGGCTAGTTGACGTTGGCACCTGGCCAACTCACTCGCTAGCACACCTTTCTCAAGAGTAAGAGAACTCACATGGATTTTCAAGTCGCTCTGATCAGTCCTCCAAAGTGGCCACATTATCTTCCAAAGTGACCTTCTCGCAGGCCACAATAGAATTCTGCTCAGAAAGGGCTCAACGCCCAGCCTCTGAATGATGGAGTTCCTCCCTTATGCTTGCCACATCACCCTGCAAAGCTTTCAACTATTTTTCATTGTGCCGGTGTGGCAAACCCAGTCGGTGGAAGCAACCATAAGGGGAGAAGTCTAAGCTGCAACATAATAAAGGTCACCAGGCGTACGAGAGCTTGACTGGCTCACAAGCAAATTCATTATGGTCGGGGTGAGCATAACTCCACTCCTGGGTGGCAGTCTCTTCCGATAAAATGGAATCCATACCAATCGCCCAGTTTGGGGCATAGACTTGGAAGGCAAGGGGTGAGATGAGGTTCCTGTTTCGCCAACCGGGAAGGCTTGCCCGGCTGAAAAGGACCTTCAAGTGAGCCCACTGCACCCTCAAGCATGAAGACAGAATTAGGATCAACTGAGAGTGAACTAGTAAATGACGAAGGCGGTGTCATTGGAGAACTAGGCACCACCACACCCTCCTTCTACCCGGGCATAGAAAACTCACTACCAAGAATACCCCGATACCACCAAGAAGCCTGGCCACGAACACAATCATACGCACCTTACGAGGACGGAGACCTGCATCATCGGATTCAGTCTCCTCGTCTGATGATGGAACCACATGTAAACTTCTCCTCTTTTGAATCAGGAATTACCTTTCTCTACTTGTACTCCCACAGGCAAACCAGAAGGAGCAGGAATCGGCAAACGAACTGGGGAAACTACCCCAACGGTTGGCTGGGAAGGAGAAGTAGGTCCACTAAAACCAACATTCCCTCTTCCACCTAGAGCAACCCAACAAACTCTCGCATGCATCTTTCATATATAGGAGAGGGAAGAACCTCTACAAGATCGATCTCCCGGTGATAAAGCCAACCTCGATAGAGACCGCGGAGGGCTATCTCGAAAGAAATCTCGGATTCAGCACCCGCACAAATAAAAGTCAAATATATGGACTCATAAGATACCCTGTTCCCACCCCTTTTTCCTTAAAAAATGGGGGGAGCAGGAGATGAGTGAATACCGCATCTCAAGATGTACAATTATGCCATCTTCCCACAAGCTATCCAGGCGGCACTCACATCGGTTGTAGCAAGAACGGAATCTTCCTAGTTCTCCCCAACAACAATGATGTTTCCTAGCCGTTATGCAAAATCCATGCCCCACAAGGTTTCAGTTAACCCAAAGCCATTGCATCAACCAATTTTTCTTCGAGACATCTTGTTTAGAGATTAACTGATGAATGCCCCGCCTTTTCGCTAAAGTACGAACACCAGAATTCGTAGTTGAACAAAAAAAAGTAATTGAAGACCCAAAAGGTGGGTATACAACCCAAATATTGACAAATCAGTTCAAAACCTACGATTTTATTGACAGCGCTCGGGGTAAACTCATCGACGGAGAAGCCATAGTGACCCATAGTCATGTTGAAGAAATCAGACGTCGTCAGGTGCAACCCCATTGTGACTAAAGGAACCGGAACTCCCACCTTTTCTTGAGGGCAATCGTAGTTCGATACCCATTTTTTCGGGATCATTACACCATGCTCCAGTAAGAAGCTGAAGCCATCCTACAGAAGTCGAAATTCCTCTGCAGTATGGAATCTACCATAACGGTCCATTGTCGACAAAAGATGAGCAATCGAAAAGGGAAATTAACGTAATGCATGGATTTGTACAACAAAGGCAAAGTGGGGATGTAAGATGAAAATCCTAGGGGAAAGGGGATTTTAAAGGAGAAACTGGCATCACGAACCATCTCACAATAGAAATGACACACATTAACGATGCTATCTAAATCCTGTCAAATGTTGAAATATAGGCTCGAAGGGCGACGCTGTCAAGCCAACACATACGTCTACAAGCGTAAGGGACTTGTTGACGTATCCCTCAGGGAGAACGTCAAAAAAGAAGAAGTCAAACTAACACCAGGCTTGGCCTAGTTGAAACCTAGTCTAAAGCCAAGTTTGGGCCTTCGCCAACACAAAGATCACTGATATGGCGGTTAAGGTGCTAAGTCATGCCTTAACCCTTTCTTCAGGAAGTTATATCCCGAAAAATATGGGACCAATCAGAGAGTCCCACTCGCCCATTAGATGATAGCCACGATCTTTATAACAATTAAAAGATTTCCTTCTAGCCAATGAGGGAAGGAGGCAAAATACTTGACGAATGACCCTCCAATATGGGTTCGCCATGTCGCTCCTCATGAGGGAATGCTTAAAAGAATCAGTTGAAGGATACACTTCTCAAACAGATATAAAAGGACCCTTCTTCCTCACGGAGAAAGGGACAAAATTCTCTATTTCCTCTAATCTACTATAATCTCTCTCAGATCTCATACTAAGTTGATCGTTGAAACTTCCTCTTGGGAACTCCTCCCGGACATTGACTAACAGTCATCTATCTTTTTTGCACTGTGATATCATGAAAAGATACATGCACGGATCTCCCCTATAGTTCCAACTTAATCCTCTCCAATATTTCACAACATAAACATTATAACAACTATTAGATAATGTTACGATATATTGGGATATAGTCATCACATTAATATTTGTTGTGTCTTATATTAACATGTTTAATCCATGAATAATGTTATTATTCTAAAATTTCATAGTCGGTTATAATTGTGAGAGCAATTATGAAGCAAGACTAATATGAATTGGATTGGTTGACTCTCACTAGATGAAAATAGGCAAGTGATTGTAACCAAGTTTCATATGTACTTGTCAGAGAACTAGTATTGAACTGACCCACATCAAGATTATCTCATAGATCACTATCATGAATGATACTTGATTAAAAGGTACTATATTTGTATCCTTAACACCTAAGATACATAGTGGGACTTAAGTGTAGGGAGTACTATTCTTTGATATGTTCAAATGTTGTTCCCTAACCGGGCAGTTATAAAAGCCATTTTCAGGTATGGTGTGAACTATGCAAGAGGTTTATGTAGTCAAGATGGGATTTTTTTCCTCTTGTGTGTTGAGAGTTGGAAATCTAAGGCGCCTTACCAAAAGTTGAACAACTAATGAGATTGAGCGCGATTTGTATCCCATGTTCAACATGATGTTTGTAGCAAAGGGATAATTGATAAACTTACCTTATACACCAATTGTAGCTTAGAGCCATTTTCGAATTGGGCGTTGATAGAATGGTACTAGGCCATATGTTGTTAAGGGTAGTGAAATGTTGTTAGACATTCACCACTGTCTATATCAGTCAAATATGAGTCTTGCACAAGTCGGAGATTGAAAGGTCTAGTATGCTCAAGAGTCATATTGATATTGCTAACTAAAATATGATACTAATGGGTCACACTAACAACAACTTGATATAATTGATTATTTATTAGAAATTGATTTGAATAAATATTCAATAAACTCTTATAATTAAATTGGAAATTATTTATTTCTTGGAAATAATAATTTTCATTAGCAAGTAACATTATATATAATTGATATGATATGAATTAATAAGTCATGTACAATATTTTAGACTAGACAAATTCTTTTGTCTTTGACCAAAAAGTTAAACTTTACATTTTATAAACTTGGTTTATAAAATATAAAGGTTTTGCCTTCTTCCTTTTATTATTTTATAAAAAAATAAGAGTAAAAAAGTAAGAGTATGGCTCTTTCATTATTTAAATAAGAGTATGAATTTTTGAATATTTAAATAAAAAATGGCTCTTTGAATATTTAAATAAGAGAATGGCTCTTTGATTATTTAAAGAAGAAGTGTGCATGCTATATATATATATATATATATATATATATATATATATATATATATATATATATATATATATATATATATATATAGTTTAGGTCATTTTTGGTCACTTAACTTTTGGTTGTGTTCATTCGGTCACTTAACTCTTTTTAAGTTTTCAAAGGTCATGAAACTTTTGGCTTTGTGCTCATTTAGTCACTTAACTTTTGGTTTGGTCACATTTAGTCACCTAACTTTTAAAATTGTGCTCATTTAGTCACTAAACTTTTATTTTTTTTTTAAAGTTTAGTGACTAAATGAGCATAATTTTAAAAGTTAGCCGACTAACTGAGCACAAATATAAAAGTTAAGTGACTAAATGTGACCAAACCAAAAGTTAAGTGACTAAATGAGCACAAAGTCAAAAGTTTGATGACCTTTTAAAACTTAAAAATAGTTAAGTGACCAAATGAGCACAAAACCAAAAGTTAAGTGACCAAATATGACATAAACCCATATATATATATATATATATATATATATATATATATATATATATATATATATATATAAGAGTGAGACTTTCATTCTCAAGATTAATAGATCCATTCTAGCATCTTAAAACCGTAACTTGCATAGTGCAAGTTACTCTCTCTCTCTTTCGTTCATCTTTTATTGAAGTTACTTGCATCTTCATCCCCTCTTTGAGTTCATATTGGTTATGAACTTAAATCTTTAGGGTTTAAGAGTTTATGGACTAACATCTACATCATCTTGAGTCATTTTTGGTCTCTCAAAGGTTCAACATTCTTCATCAACTTCCAAGCCTCCCATGAGGATCCAAAGAACAACAAAGGTTGTTATTTCTTCATACTTTATATGGTTGGTATTTTATCTTTCTATAACTTGCAAGGAGATCCTTGGTGGGTATAAAATGTTATGTTATGTTCAAAATTGTATGTCTTCCATTGCTATATTTTTCTAGTTTATGAAACTATTTTTGAACAAAAAACCAACATACCAGTGCTACGTGTCGAGATCGCATGCGAAGCCGTGGGGAAGAAGGTTTGGCTGAGATTGTCACGTGTCACTTCGGGGTTTAACCAAAAAATTAATTATCTTCTAAAATCTGTAACTTTTGCCTACAAGATCTATTTTTGACATTCTTTATATCCACGCATAGGTAGCGACATTTTCTACAACTTTCGTTTAGACTCTATCGGCTAATTTTGACTTTCTTTTTAAAGTTATAGTTTAAAAGGCTTAGACAGTTAAATCCCATTAAAAATTCATAACTTTGTCATCCGACGTCCATTTACGACTATCTTTATATTGTTGAGATATTATTAACGAGATCTTCAATTCTTGTTTAGGTTGTGTTGGCTAAAAAATCGATCTATCCAAAATTCAATTTCCGGGTTGTGTACTGCTATGCTAAATCTTAAAAAAATCATACCTTACTCAAACGAAGTCAGATTTAGGCATTCTCTATATGAACGCTCTCAGTTTAACGTATACTCTGAATTTTGTTTAGATCCCTAAGGCTAAAAAGTTGTTTATCACAAATTTAATTCTTATGATATGTGGAGCTTTGCCGGTTTAATCATAAAACTTTGACAAGTCATAACTTCTTTGTTATAAGTTGGATTTCAGTGTTATTAATATGTACGAAATCCCCGTGACATATACTATACATTGTTTAAGACTTTTTATTTTATATAATCATTTATCAAAAGTCATTTTTAACGTTTATTGTATGTAAATTGACTAGCCCGAACCTACGAGCGTTACAATGTGGTAAGCCTGTTACCACAGAGTGGTGAGGTGTGTAACCCAAACCCATAAAAATGAAGGTTTTTGTAACATCCCAATTTTCAAGGCCAAAAATTTCATTTTTTCTTTACAAGATTCATAACATATTTTACCAAACATTGCCAATGTCATATCAATTTTAAAAAAGAAAAAGCCATAACAACATGTCTGAAAACCATATCATCAAAAGTAATAAAAATCAGAGTACAATCCCAGAAATCTTCATGCGGAAACCATGTGTGTGTGATGTGTTGTTACACCGTCGGCTCCTTCCCCTTAGACAAA